CATCTTCAATAAGTTTCAGTTTATTGGTCAAGAAATGTGATAAAAAAAAAAAACAGGGGGGGAAGGAGAAAGAAACGCACCGTTTAACACCGCGGAGATCAGAGAAGATTGGTGTTGAGGAGAAAGGAAGTCTCTGCATAGCCATAATCCGTTAATTTCCTTGATCTGTTCCCATGAAGGAATTGGGTCACCGATTTGCTTATGCTGTGGATCATCGTCTTCGCTGTCTGATGATTCACCGAATACTTCCCTCAAAAGTTCATCGTGATTCTCCATCTTCAAGATTGTCGTCGACGACCGAGCTTCGTGGCCGCCCTTGGTAGCGTTCGCTACCCATATTGACGTCGGAAGCATTAACACTTATTGGGCCATCTCAAAAAAACCAAAACAGGCCCAGATTACAAGGAGAAGCCCTCGAAAAGTCGAAAAGGCAAAAGTTTTCTATATTTATAAAGGAAAATGTTAATTAGTGTTAAAATTAGCGTATGGTTTCTTCTTAAAATGAGAAAAAATTATATTAAATAAATTTTTTAATTATAAATTTGACTAACCTTAATAAATATTGATGAGTACTCATTAACCTGACCCAATTATATAGTCTTATAATTGGTAAATTTCCATGGACATAGAATTCCAATCCTTTGATCCTCTTTTTCTTAAGAATTAATTATCTTAACATAACCATAATTTTATGATCTTAGCAATGTCATCTAAAAACCACGCTAGTATATCCCGGCTAAAAAATTTGGTTGCCAATCCTCCCTCTATTAAATCTTATACCATACAGAAGGTTTTATTTAGGACATTAGACATACAATGTAAAAATAAAACTAAAACCCACTCATTTGGCAGTTCCCTTAAAGACACAACTCTATCTATTTATCAATAACAAACATAAAATTTCAATCATCAAATGAACAATAAGAACCAAGAAGTCAATTTAAAACGTCTATTACAATGAATTGTTATCAACATTCATTTAGTCTTCCATCATGAAATAGATGCTTCATAATAACAAAGATAATAACAAAATTTTGAATAAACTATCATTGTAATTACAAAAATTTGAAATCGAATATATTTTGGTTTGTATAGTTTTAATTTTTTTTAATTTTAAATTTCCAATGTTATGTTGAAATAATCTTTCAATCAATATTTTGATAAGTTTAATTTTAAGTGTTAATTGACAGTATTTGTTTGACACGTGATAGATGTTAGGGTCGCGATGATCCTAAAAAAGATTTGTATCAATTATGTATTAGAGTGAAACTAAATATTTAAATATTTATATTATTTTCAACTTATAAAGCACTTTTTGTAAGATAAAATTAGCTCAATTGACCAACCTTGCATGTTAGTGTAGACCATGACAGTTGGTATTAGAACCTATAAAGTGCTAACCATGTGTCACTTAAGTCAATAGACTTTTGTTGGAGCATAGTAAGATATCATGGTCGTAGTAGAAAGTCGTGAATCTTATATTATTTTTGTAATAAAGTGAGATTGGATATGTAAAATGGCATTTGGTAATTTAATTTGTTTTGTTTCTTTTTTTTAAGTAAAAGCAGAAATACTGTTTTCATTTTTTTCTTAAAAAAACAAAAATAAAATAAGTTTGGTCATATTTTTGTTACAATAAACTTTTAAAAATAAAAATATGAAAATATTTAAGAAAGTTTCAATTTCATATTTGTCTTAAGTGCTTAGACCTAACAAGGAAACGTAAATATAACTATCATAACTCACGAAGAAAATGACATAAAAAAGAAGAAACATTATTCTATCTAGATGCTCAAAGTGTCTAAAAACAATAAATCAAATCCAAAAGAAAAAATAAAGTCAAAAAGAAAAAAGAAGAAAAAAAAACTCACTTGAAGTGGATTAGATATAAAAAAACTCATCCGAGATGGAAAAGTAAATGAATTAAATAAAAAAAAGATTTAGGGTGTGATAGTTGGAAAAGAGAAAGAAATAAAGAAAAAAAAAAAAGAAAAAGGTCGTTTGGAGTTGGTCTAATTAAGGATGAGGTGATTCCGTGTTTTTTTTTGAAAACAAAAATAAAAATAAGTAAAATATCTTTTTTGTGTTTGTGTTTTTTTCATCAATTTCAAATCCGTTTTCAAAATAGAAAAAACAAAAATAAGGTTACCAAACACCTTTTTTATTATTATTTTCATAAAGTGTTTATATATCTTTTAACTTGTGAGATTTTTTGCTGAAGCTCTATTGTGTCAAAATAATATAAAATCTCCTTTGTAAAGTAAAATCTTGAGATTCATTGAGTCAAAATGATGTATAATATCATAAAACTTAATAAATCAAAATAAATAATATTTTATAAATTAAAATAAATCAAAATACTTGTTATAAAACGAAGCTGTGAGATCCAATTAACCAAAACGTCAAAATGGATAATATTTTATAAATTTGTGTGAAGAGTGACCATAAACATGTGTAAGCTTATATATATATATATTACATTACTTACATCTTTGAAATTGTTGTAGATTTGTAATTGTAAAAATAAAAATATTTATGACAAAGCAGAAAAATATAGATCTATTTATTTTAAAATATATTTCTTAATGTATTTTAAAAATGAAAAATGTCAAATTTTTTCTTTACAACTCTCTTTTTTTTTCTCCCTTTCTTTTCCCGACGGACTAGGGACCAGTCATAGACGATAAAAAGCTAGATCTGACCCAACTGTCGCAGTGTCGACAGAGCCAAATTCGGCCCTCTATGGCCGTCGACCGACTCTTAGTTAACGGAGGAGAGAAAGGGAGATGAAGATAAAAAAAACAAAAACCTAAAAATCGGTTTTTTTGCACATTGGCTCAAACGTGTTTGCCATGCAAGACACGTATCACCAATTGAGACGTTAAGCACAATATTAAAAAAAAAAATCATTTCAAATTACAACATTGGAATTACGTAGACTAACGAGTTAAGTTTCCGACCGTCTTCGTTGTTGCAAAGGATCCTTTGTAATAAAGATGAAAAGGTCAACAAGTTGCATCTCCTTGATGTTTGTGCCAATCAAGTGCATAGCCATCCGTGCCCATGCAGAAAATGTTATCTTCACACGTAAGAACCCTATCCCATTTCGCCACAACACGCCTCGACTACAACGCCACAGGTAAAAATTCTCAACCTTCTTAATGGGCCGTCAAGGGTATAATCCCCCTTGCCTTGCCCAATTGAACTATATTATTGGAGTAAAATCCAGCCTCCAAATTATCAAGTCCTGTAGTCTTACTCCGTTTTGACTAGAATGACCATTTTTCATCACGCGCCACGTGCCAAAGTGATATATCAAAGCCGTAGATTCGTTAGTGGGGATCGACGGGTGAGGTAGGGGAATTGCTATAAAACTGGAGTTGTTGCAACGCTCTGTTTCGTCCCTTCCGTTATATTCGAAGAAGCTCGTCTGCATTTATCTCTTCTCTCTTTCTAACTTTTTTTCAAGCAGGAGTCTCGGAACGGGTGAAATTAATGGCCGAATCAGATCCCAATCAGCCAATAGAGATAGTAAGCCCTTCATCTCTCACTGGTACTATGCTAATTGTTATTTTACGATTCTTAATTTTAGATCGATGAGATTGATTTTCGTTTTTCTTTTTATTTTTGTGATGAATAACGAATTGATTCTACATTTGATTTGGTTTTTTTTTTTTGACGAAGAATGAAGAAAATGAGAAGAAACTTAAATATCTAGATTTTGTTCAAGTGGCGGTGATCTATGCAGTTGTATGCTTATCAAGCATCTACGAGTACGCCAAGGAAAACTCCGGTCCACTTAAAATGGGGGTCCAAACCGTCGAAGGAACTGTAAAGACCGTTATTGGCCCCGTTTACGACAAGTTTCACGATGTTCTGTTCGAAATCCTCAAGTTTGTTGATCGCAAGGTCAGCACTCTAAAAAAATTTTAATTTTTCCCTCTCTTTTTTACTTGATTGAACTTATGTAAAGATAAAAATCAGTAAAATTTGACTTTTTGGGCCTTTTTTGTTAAGGAATCAAATTCTTTGACTTCTTAGGAGACATAGCAATTTGATGAGATTCTCGGTGTTCACGTTGTTTGCAGGTGGACGAGTCCTTCAGTGAGTTGGACAGCCGCATTCCGTCATTTGTAAAGCAGGCTTCAAGCCAGGCTCAAGCCATGGCTTCGGAGGTCCAACGAGCCGGCGTTGTAGACACGTCTAAGACCATCTCGAGGACCATTTACACCAAGTATGAACCGACAATTAAGGAGTTGTACTGCAAGTACGAGCCGGTGGTAGAACAGTATGCTGTTTCGGCTTGGCGGACGCTTAACTGCCTCCCGCTTTTCCCTCAAGTGGCTCAAATCGTGGTCCCCATGGCTGCTCACTGGTCGGAGAAGTACAATCAGGTGGTTTATTACTCTGGGGAGAAAGGGTATGCGATGGCGTCGTATCTGCCGTTGATTCCGATTGATAAAATCGAAAAGCTTTTCGAGGAGCGTGGAACACCGCTCGCTGCTTCGACTAATGGGGAATCAACTCCGACGAAGTGAAATTGTAGGGGTAGGGTTTTGGGGATTGATGATATCTTGCTGAAGTGGTTTCTGTTCTTCCTTTTTGCATTTGCATTTTTGGGTTTAGCATATAAAATGGTCACATGAGATGGAGCTTATAGGGTACAATAAAAGGATATAATTTTATGAGAAATTTTAAATAATTTAAGTGTTTATTCAGTATTTTAAAGTTTTTAAATGTGATATTTTTTTGATTAAATTTAATTTAAAAACAGATCATAAGTAATGCGATAACGTATACTAAACTCATGGTTGAAAATCTGCCAAGAGAAAGAGTGTTTGCATCAAACTCTTTTAATGCAGCAAAGAAGAAAATTTAAAGTTGAATGAACAAAGTGAAAAACAGATGTGAATGTAATGAGCATCCATGAAATTTTCTTCCCAGTTAATTCTCCGATAATCGCAACTTGCACTGGGGCCACAGCCCACAGCCCAAATCGTGGCTGGGATTCAATTTTGCTTAATCTCAAATGCAGGGTACACATGTTTTGCAGCTCTCCGTCGAAGTAAGTCCAACCAATGCAATGCTATTGATTTTCAGGCCTCACGTCCATATATTAAAAGTTGACAAATCAGTATTATTTTATTCCCATGTGGCAAGTAGTAATCTTTCATCTCATATACAGTCCACAAACCCAACTCCTGTCTAGAGCATCCTAACACCTGAACCATTTCCATCGTTTTAATGCCATCCTACGGCATAGAATCTGGGTTGCAAAAATATCTTTGCCTAACCCTTTTAAATCTCCTTTTTAAAATAACCTTGAAATCATTTTGCCAACACATGCTGACACGGAAAGCAAGTTAAGCCCAAGCATGGTTTTCAAATGCCATCTGGTTAGGGATTTGACTTCTGTTTAATCAGTGTTAGTTTAATTTCTACTGAGTTTTGGTTTTTATTTCCTTTTTGCAGAATGTTAGATCCACGCAAACATGCCAATGATTAAAAGCTAATCAATCCATGCATGATTAGGCCCCCGTGACTGATTCCTTCTCTGCACTTTCTAGAGTCCATGTGCTCACCCCCCTCCTTTTCACACTTAATGAACCCAAAATTATATGGAAAACTAAAAACAAAAACATAAGCTTAAAGTCTCCAATCCCCAATCCACGATGTCCCCGGTTGGTAGGCTAATGGCAAATACTAAATTATTAGTGTAGAGTTTTCACCATAGTCTAAAATAATACTCTGCTAGGAATAAGCTGATTTGGGTTAAATACCTTTGCGTTACTGCGAAGCATCTCCCAAATCAAAGCTGCCAAACGAGAATATACACAACACCAACTCATCATGAGCTTCCCAGAACTTACACAACTTGGGAGTTGAAACTCCCAAGTTGCTCACTATTTTTATTTTTTATTCACAAAACTAATATGTCCCCGTTTTTTATGGTCACAAACAAAAGTCCGACTTATTCCAGTCCGACCTTCCTTTCTTTTTTGCACTACTGTTGCCCTCTGTAACGCTTGGTTCAGAAGCGAACTCTCTCCTGCTTTCTTTCTGTCTTTTTTATTCTTTTATTTTCTTGGCTGCAAACTTGCAACTTGCAGACGTACAGAGTTTTTTTATATACCCTTAAATCTAATAGGATAAGTTATTTATGTTAAACTTTATGAATAATTAATTTATATTAATCCAATATTTATCATAATATAAACTTAGCAATTGTATTTTATTAAATCATATTATGAAGTATAATATTGTATTATTATTAAAACAAAATTAACTTAAACTGATTTTGATAAAACAAAAAAATAAATAATGTAAGTACACACTTTAAATTCATAAGAAAACTTAGCAAAGTACTTGTCTGCCCATGAATTGAATAGTCGAAATCTGCAACAGAAAAACATGTTTGCATTGGATAATATTTTAATGAAAAACTTCAAAAAAAAAAAAAAGAAGAATAAGTGGTAGATTGAGATGAATGTTGGACGCAAGTGAAAGTGATGATTCAATTGGGATAGCTACGTATGCTGGGTGAGAAGGGGATCAATTGGTATGTCTATGCAATTAATTGGTGGAAAGCTGTGGCAAACCGTGGAGGACGGCAGCTGGCAACTTGAATTTGACTTGTTTCTAGTTTGGGTAATCGGGATCCTGTGTCTTTAATTTTCCAGTGACGGGCCACATTATTTGAAGCTCTGCTCCCCATTCTGTCAGCCTATTTTGCAACTTCGTGTGAAACATAGCTGGATATTTCTGCACTCCCCATAGTTGGCTGCCAAATAAATTATAATAATGAAGAATTACCAATCACTTAAATTAATTATATTGATGGTTTCATTTGTCATGCATATGATAATAACTGTAAATCACCACGATTTAAGCATTATTTGAGTATTCCTTAAAAAATAAAAAATAAAAAAAACCAATAAGATGTTACACTTATGTCAGCTCGCATTTCGTGTTTATAACAATAACCATTAACATCGTAATAATTGATTTATTTGATTGTTTGAAGTTTACTGTATTATTGAAGACGAAGGGAATTAATAATCAAAGTGAATTATATGATTTATATAGGTGTGAAACTATGACCATCTGATGAGTATAAAAGAGGTGTAACTTTCACGAGAACCCATTCAACATTTGGCTCATGAATATTGAAACAAAAGCATGAGAGTCATAATCCTCTAAAAATTCCCTTTTCTCATCAAGGTGTGGTCAACCCAAAAAATTCAACAAATCTTTTTCTTATTTCGGCTAGAAATCCTAAGTGGGTTGACAAAATCTGAGAAAACCTTGGTTCACACTCATATCCGGACAGTACAGTGAAGAAACCCCAACCAATAGTCATAAACCAAAACAGCAATAAATGTCAAGTAATGAAACATCCTCCAAACAAATTAACCCATGTGCCTTTTTATTCACAGTGCCAGAACGCCCTGAAGCCCATTTCACCGCTTCCTAAGAATCGTAACCTCCAAAACTTAAAATCCAAATAAAATAAAATAAACCTACCATAATCGTACTGATGAAACAAAATAACATAAATAAACCCCGCTATTTATTCCATATTTTTATATATTTTATATAAATAATAGGTGCACAGGAACCTTGATAACTGATCTGCCCGCAATCATTCACCCCTTTTCTCTTTTCCTTTCCCTCTTTCCTTCTCTCTTTCTGATTCTCTCTTTCTCTTCTTTTTCTTCCCAAGACCCAAAGTTCGTTCCTTTTTCGGATCAGAGAAAACCCAGACCGAAGCCTCTTCCCCTCCAAACCCTTCCTCTTTAAGAAGAAGATGGTTGAAACGCGACGGAGCTCTTCGTCTTCCAAACGCTCCCTTTCCTCTCCGGTTACCTCCCCTCCTACTTCTAGTAAACGATCCAAGGTCTTGTCTTTACTCCATTTCTTTGCTTTTCATTCCAACAATCCATTCTTTTTTTTTCCCTTTAGGGTTTTTAATTTGCATGCGTGTCAAAATCTTTTCTTTTTCTCCTTTAGATTTGAATCTGGGACTGATATTTTTTTCTTTAGGCATCTGAGCCGGCGTCGTCGTCAACCAATGGAGCTGCAGTTTCTGGGCCGCTTAACGAAGCCCTAGGCCCGCCTAAAGAATCCGGGTCGGACTCACGGGTAACGGAGCTCCGTTCTTCTGATCTGCGGGTATCTGATGTGGCTAAGGCCGTTGATGCGTCTGTCACCGATAAGTCTGCTGATGCTGATGTGGAGAACGGTACTTTGGTGTCTCCGCGGTCCTTAGGTGCGATCCTCGATTGATATTTTCATTTGGGTTTGGGGTTCTAAATGATGGTTTCTTTCTTTTAATGGGGTTGGTTTGGGTTTGTTTATGGGTTTTTGACTTGGGTGGTTTTTTGGGTTAAGTAGGTGAAGCTGCCATGGATGTGGAGAAAGCGAAGGCGGTTGGAACAGGGTTTACTGGTCGGGTTAAGAAGAGACCAACGAAGTCAGCGAAATCAGGTTCTAAAGTCCCGTGGGGAAAGCTTCTTTCCCAGCACTCTCAGGTATGTTTTCTGAAATTGCCTTCCTTTTTTAGTTTTGGGCTGGATTTTGGTTTCTGATCTCTGGTTAATTGAGTAAGTATTAAAAATTTATATCAGAATTCTTGGTCTTTAAGCACAATGGTGAAATGAGAAATGAAGGTTTTTTTTTTGTTCCTAGAACTGTTAATGGCTTACGGGTTTTGAAAATTTGTAGACTTTGAATTTTGGATGTCAATGAAATCTTACTACATAATTTGTGATTAGAGCAATGGTATGCTTCAGTTCCAATCATCGACAGGAAACTTGGAATTCATAATCGTATATGTGAATTGGAAATCCTATTTTAAGTTAGAGACTTAAACTTGAATGCACTGGAAGTTTTCCATTAGAGAAAAGATCTCGAATTATCTAGGGTGAATGGGGTTATTAGTGCTCCCTTGTTGGTCTATTTTGCAAACACCACACTTGATGTTTAGAATTTGTAGATGTCAATTCTAGATATCTTGAAATGTTACAAAACAACCTGTCATTTTGGCAATGATATGCTTGGGTCCTGAAGACAAACAGATTAACCTTGCAGTTCATTTCCTCTAGGTCTACTAATTCCATTGGAAATTCCATTAATTTGGTCTTGCTGAATGCAATGGAAGTTTTCTTCAGAGAAAAGATCGGGAATTTGTAGAGTAGGTTTTTATTGTTAGGTTAGGAAACTTTATTATTTGTACCTGGTTGGAAGATATTACTTAAGCATGAGTTGCTGGCAGAATCCCACTCTTTCATGACTAGAAAGACACATGTTAAAAATGCCATTTATGCACATAGCAAATTCACAGGAAAATTACTTGTAGGCTGTCTTGTTAACTCAGAGTTTTTTTAGTCTTAGTGAGGTTTAATCTTGTTGATTTGTGATTTCCTTCTCAACTATGGTGTGGATGAACTAGGTAGTTTTGTTCCCTCTCTTTTTCTAGCCAAAAGACTTCAGGAAAATGTTTTTTTTTTTTTGAGAGCAAAAGTGGGTTTTCTTTTTCTTTGCTTTTGGTATCTTCCAAAGGTGAATCTTGTCAGCTTGCTATTACTATTATTTTAATCCATTGGCTGTCTTAGTTATAGGGAGGTAATCCTTTTTCATCTCTTTACTCATTTTGCTTCAATGCTTAGATGCCAACCCTCAACTCCAAACTTCCTTAAGGAAGGATGTACCACCTAGTCACAAACTGATTGGGCTCTTTAGATGGATTTTGATGCTTTATGGTTGTTTTCATGCTAAACTACTGGTTGTTTTGGATTCTTATTAATGTTCAATTCATCCCAGAATCCTCACTTGGTCATGTGTGGCACGCCATTCACTGTTGGCCAAAGCCGTCAGTGTAACTTATGCCTTAAAGATCCCAATGTTAGCACTATTTTGTGCAAAGTGAAGCACATAGAGGTATGGATCTTTGCAGTACTTATTTGAAAAGCTTTTTCTTGTAATTTTTGTTTTTGTTGTGTGTATGTGGTAGTGCTGATCTTTTTTTTTTTTAAATGTAGAGTGATGGCTCTTCTATTGCCTTACTAGAAATTACCGGAGGAAAAGGCTCTGTCCAGGTTAATGGGAAGATTTATCGTAAGAGTAAAAGTTTAATTCTAAATGCAGGCGATGAATTGATTTTCACTAGTACTGGAAACCATGCTTATGTATCCTTTTTCTTTAATATGTCTAACACTGTTCTTAAACAAATATTCATATTCCTGTCCCTCCCAAATAAAAATCTGTGTGGTATTGTCTGCCTGCATGCTTCGTTTTTCAACTTTGATGTTATTATGATATTTGTTGCACCTTATTACTGTTTTAATTCCTTAATGGAAACTTAGATTTTTCAGCAGCTCACAAATGATAACTTAGCTGCTCCAGGAATACCTTCATCTGTAAGCATTTTAGAAGCCCAGGCTGCTCCTATAAAAGGTATTATTGAGGCACGATCAGGGGACCCGTCGGCTGTTGCTGGGGCAGCAACAATATTGGCGTCTTTGTCAACAAAAGAAAATTCGGATATGTCCACTCTACCCTCTGGTTGTGATGTGTCAGATGACCGTGTTCCAGAAGTGGACATGAAGGACAGTGCTAGTAATAATGATCCAGCAACTGTTTCTTCAAGGGAGAAAACTGTTACTCCCCCGCCTGATACTGCCAATGAAAACCCGAATCTAGATAGACTTGGATTGGATGATACCATGGATGCTGACAATTCAAAGGTCCCAGGGGCAGGTTACCCTTTAAGGCCATTATTGCGTATCCTTGCTGGTACATCTTCTACTGACTTTGATTTGAGTGGCAGCATTGCCAAAATTCTTGATGAGCAAAGAGAAATTAGAGAGATGCTCAAGGAATTTGACCCTCCTATGGTTTTGATATCAACGAAGCGGCAAGCATTTAAAGACAGCTTACAGGAAGGCATTCTCAATCCGGACAATATAGATGTCTCATTTGACAATTTCCCATATTACTTGAGGTAAATCGTGTGCTTACTGCTCTTGGTTGGGTCTTGCACTTCTGTATTATCGGGGAAACCTACTTTTGGTTATGTTTTTACATATTTTGCATATCTCCTTTTCTGCTTATTTGCAAGTCCATACGGTATTTATGCAGTGGCTGTCAACCACCCAATATGTCATGTGATGGAAAATAGAAATTCCTTATGGTGCTGCCCAGTATTGTCTTTGTGTCTTTTGTTTTTGTTGCTGTTTCTCAGATTTGGAGCATTGGGAATTTTGGGTTATTTATGTGAAAATTTCCATTGTGACAGTGATACGACAAAGAATGTATTGGTAGCCTCAACGTATGTGCATTTGAAGTGTAATAAATTTTCAAAGTATGCCTCAGATCTTCCTACTATGAGTCCTCGTATATTATTATCTGGTCCTGCAGGTATGACTATGTTTTCTGTTAATTTGCCATGTAAACTATGTTTATTTCTTTCTTTTTTTTGCTCTTTTTAATCCCTGCTGAGAGTTCTTAATTGTCTTTTGATTTGTATAGGTTCAGAAATATATCAGGAGACTTTGGCAAAGGCCCTTGCGAAACATTTTGGAGCTAGATTGCTAATTGTTGATTCTCTTCTCTTGCCTGGAGTATACTTCTTTCACTTCTCATCTTGTTTTGATTCTTTGCCAATTGCATTTTATGAAATCAAGATTGGGTTGAAATTGCAGTTTGTGAGCTTCCTACTTCGTTTCTAGACGGTTATTGTTTGATCTTCTACAAGATCAGGGGAAATTTGTTGGTAGTCTATGATTATTGTTCTTGTCGTTGTTTATGATTCTGGCTTACCAAGCATGTAAATGACTAGAGTTCTTTTTAATTTGAAAACAAAAATGTGTCAAACTCTGGTTGGCAGTTCCCTAAGAAAATTGTGTATTACCTGTTTCTTAAGCTAGATGTTGCATGAGTCTTGTTTACTTTGTTGTGGTTGCACAAAGTTCTGTATTGTTTGCCTTCTGTGTTTCTAATTGTCTGGATGTTTCGGTGGCATCTTATCTTCTATTTTTTCCTTTCAAATATGTTCAGGGATCAACATCGAAAGAAGCTGATGGTATGAAAGAAACTTCAAGAGCTGAAAGGGCATCTATATATGCCAAAAGAGCTGCACAGGCTTCTGCTGCTTTGCAGCAGAAGAGACCAACTTCTAGCGTCGAAGCTGATATAACAGGTGGTTCTTCACTGAGCTCCCAAGCTTTGCCAAAGCAGGAAGTATCTACTGCAACATCTAAAAACTATACATTTAAGAAAGGTATATCATTTCTCTGCAATAATATAAGGGAGTTGGCTTTGTTGTTTAGTAGTGCTGTGGCTTTCTAAACAGTTAACTTGTTGATGAACCATTATCAACTTCTAACTGAATTAAGTTATTTTAAAACTTTCAGGTGATAGGGTTAAGTTTGTGGGTGCCACAGCACCTTCTGGACTTTCCTCTCTACAACCCGCTTTAAGGTACTTTCTTGCATTATGTTTTATATTCTTGGATTAACCATTGGTCTGTTTTCTCTTTAATAGTAACTAGTTTTCCCTTTACTTCAAATTTTAATTTAGAGTTTATCTTTTACTGGCACTGTCCTTGCAAGCATGTCATGTTATGATTACATGCCATGGATTGATGTCCTGATTTAACTGCAGTTCTGATACCATACTCATTTGAGATGTTTGTATGTGTTTTTCTTTCAAAATTTTGCTGCTAGTGTTGGCATGGTGGTTAGAATATGTAAATTTATTATGGGACAAATCTTATTACTGTGTTCATTATGTTTTGCAATAGGTTGAGTAATTTTTGTGTTCTACAGGGGCCCCACAATTGGTTTTAGGGGAAAAGTAGTCCTTGCTTTTGAAGAAAATGGTTCCTCAAAAATTGGGGTCAGGTTTGACAGATCTATCCCGGAGGGCAACGATCTTGGGGGGCTTTGTGAAGAAGATCATGGTTTCTTCTGTGCTGGTGAATTTTCATCCCATTTCTTGCATTGACTTATGTGTCTTTTATGATTTATTGTGGACTGTTATCCAATCTTACCCATTATGTTTTCATTCTATGTCTAGCTCACTTCACTTACAATTTCTATATCACTCTACAGCAAGCTCACTTCGCTTGGATAGTTCTGGAGGTGATGATGTTGACAAGCTTGCTGTTAATGAACTTTTTGAGGTACATTGATTGATTAATACACGAGAGCTATTGCTTTACCATGTTCTTGTTTTGAAGTATTTAGCACTGAATTGTCTCACTTTTATAGGTTGCATTGAATGAAAGCAAAAGCAGTCCCTTGATATTGTTTGTGAAAGACATAGAGAAGTCTATGGCTGGAAATACAGATGTGTATAGTGCCTTGAAGTGTAAGGTTGAGAAGTTGCCAGCAAATGTTGTTGTAATTGGTTCTCATACCCAGATGGATAATCGTAAGGAGAAAGTAAGCAACTTACTTTTTTTTTTGTTTCTTTCTTTTATGCTGTATGAAGTATGTTTAACTGTTTGATGTTGGAAACTTTGCGTTTCTGCAGTCTCATCCCGGTGGCCTTTTGTTCACAAAGTTTGGAGCCAACCAGACTGCTTTACTTGATCTCGCTTTTCCAGTATGTCAAGCATCGCCTTTTTTCTTTTACTTTAAATATTTTGGAGTAACTGCTCTCTTTTTTTTTTGTACCAGTGTCTAAATTTATTTATATACTTGACTGTTTTAGTGTTTTCTAAGTCTACTTGTGTTGACCTTTAGAGGGAGCATGTGTGATTTTATGCTAATGTTTCAAGGTATATTGCTTGAAATGGAATGCTTTGATCTTTTCTGGAATTGAGACATGATTACCATCTAAAAATGTTTAGATATGCCCGTTACCTGAATTTAACATGTGGCAAGCATTCTTAGCTGTTCCATTGGGTAGCATTTCCAGTTGTATTACTTCTCTTAATTGACTCTGTTCCTAGAGTGTTCTCGCATACGTTGCAATAACATCCTTATTGTATTAGCCTTTGAATGGTTGATTAGTAATCTAGGATTCTCCTTTTTTTTTTTTCTCGTCCTCACTTCCTTTCTTATTTCAATAACACACCTGATGTGAGTATCATTCCTTGTGCAGGATAATTTTGGCAGACTTCATGACAGGAGCAAAGAAACACCTAAAACAATGAAACAAGTTACCAGGCTTTTCCCTAACAAAGTGACGATCCAGTTGCCTCAGGTTTGCTTCTGTTAGTTTCTGCATCAGTCCTGTTACAAATTACTAATACTGAAATATTTAAATTAATATTACTGAATCATCGCAGGATGAAGCTTTACTTTTGGACTGGAAGCAGCAGTTGGAACGCGACATTGAAACTCTTAAAGCACAGTCAAACATTGTTAGCATTCGATCAGTGAGTACAGCTATAATCTTGCTTTGTTGTCTTCCAGTTTTCTCTTTCTGCATGCTAGAAGGAGCTTCTGTCCAAAAAGTACATTGCCTGAAAGTGGCCTCCTTCCTGGCCGTGGTAAAACCTCCTTTTTAAGTGTAGGATAAACTTACTTAATATGATGAGAAACTACAAGAAAGCTGAAGAAGGTTATGATAAAACTACACCTCTCCTCCCAACCTGTCCTCCCCCTCTCAAGCTGACAGAAGTTGCCTTTTGTGTCCTTGTTATATCTAGAAATTAATCAACGGGCAATTTATTTGACAATTTGAGGTACAAGTTTGTTTTGGAGATTTGTAACAGTTTTATGCTATCAGGTACTCAATCGAAATGGCTTGGATTGCCCCGATCTGGAAACACTTTGTATTAAAGATCAAACCCTTACAAATGAGAGTTAGTATTCTCGAGCTCCTTCGTATATACTCATTCCTTCCAAGTGTATATTCCTATATTCCTTTTTCTTAATGTTTAACATTTTTACTATCTCATATATAAAACGATTTTCAGGACTATTTTCTTTTTTGAAAATTTAATTGAATATTTATGTCAAAGGTTGTCAAGTATGAAAAACTCTTCCCTCTAAAATTCAAAAGCAGGATTATATGCTTAAGATGGAGGTAGTAGTAAATATTATGATATTTTTTACTTTAATATTACTAATTTTGTACCTTTTCTATTATTATAGGTGTGGAGAAAGTGGTAGGCTGGGCACTTAGTCACCACTTCATGCATTCTTCAGAAGCTTTGGTGAAAGATGCTAAACTTGTAGTTTCAACTGCAAGGTTTTATATTCCCTTCATTTATTGTAAATTTTTAATCTACAACTCCGAAATGTTAAAAGGGAATACAGAAACATATGAACGAAATGTTTCTCCATTTTATTCTTGTGGTAATTTTTCAGTGACTTTTCTGTTGCAGCATCAAATATGGGCTGAACATTTTGCAAGGCATTCAAAGTGAAAGCAAAAGCTTGAAGAAATCACTTAAGGTACAGTTGTCTTGTTTATGGGTTTTATGTCTAGTCATATCTCCTCTTACAGTTGTCCATGATCTATCTACTTAGAAATTTTATTATACTATTGAAATTACATGTAGTTTTACTTATTTTTAGGATGTGGTCACTGAGAATGAATTTGAGAAGAAACTTCTTGCGGATGTTATTCCTCCAAGTGATATTGGGGTTAGCTTTGATGATATTGGAGCCCTTGAAAACGTCAAGGACACCTTGAAGGAATTGGTGATGCTTCCCCTTCAAAGGCCTGAATTGTTTTGCAAGGGACAGTTGACAAAGGTTGAGTCAATTATACATATCTCTCAAAATGTAGTTTTGCTTTATCATATTTTACTTGGAATGTTGAATTTTCAAAGTAAAACCTGTTGTTTTCTTCTTTTGTTTGTTATTGCTTTTGCAGCCCTGTAAAGGAATATTGCTGTTTGGGCCTCCTGGTACTGGAAAAACAATGCTTGCCAAGGCTGTTGCAACTGAAGCTGGTGCAAACTTTATTAACATATCAATGTCCAGCATTACTTCAAAGGTATTTTTTAAGTGCATGGAAACTGAGGCCATGTACCTTTTTTGTTATATTTTCCTTTTGATATATGTATGTGACATATTTGTATGGCTTGCAGTGGTTTGGTGAAGGGGAAAAGTATGTTAAAGCTGTTTTCTCTCTGGCCAGTAAAATTGCACCTAGTGTTGTTTTTGTTGATGAGGTTTGTTCAACTTATATGTAAATTCTCCTTTTTTTTTTCATTTTTTTTGTGTTTTTTCTGTTCTCGCTGAAGATGATTGCTGGTATTTCACAGTCTTTCCCTCATTGTATTCATGTTCTTCCTCCTGTTTCTTAAATAGGATATGTAGTTGTATTGACTTGACTTGTGTTGTTATTATAGGTTGATAGCATGCTAGGAAGACGGGAGAATCCAGGTGAACATGAGGCTATGCGTAAAATGAAGAATGAATTCATGGTAAATTGGGATGGTCTTCGTACGAAGGATAAAGAACGGGTGTTGGTTCTTGCTGCTACAAACCGGCCATTTGATCTTGATGAGGCAGTCATCCGGAGGCTCCCTCGAAGGTAGCTTTCTTGTTTCATGTCTTTGAATTGCTGTAATCTGACCTATGATAAGCATATTGACTTTTCTGTTGAATGTTGTGCAGATTGATGGTTAATTTGCCTGATGCTTCAAATAGAGAAAAGATTCTAAGAGTTATACTAGCCAAAGAGGAATTGTCACCGGATGTTGATTTGGAAGCTATTGCAAATATGACTGATGGGTATTCTGGAAGTGACCTGAAGGTTGATTTTTCTACCTTTTTACTTGATTTAGTTGTCTTGTTTGAAAATGTGAAGGGTGTTCGTGAACCAAAGATGATAGAAGTAGGCTAACTGCGAATCACATGCTAATACTAAATTGACTTGGTCATTTCCTCTTTTAGTCTAAACATTGATTCTTAATGATTTTTTATGTGTAGTTCTGTACAAGAGTGGCACTAATTCTGCCATAAACTAGTGAAGTTTTTTTTTCTCTATAAAAAAAATTTACTTATCAAAGTTTATTAGCTAGGCTTCTTGATTTTTGTTAACTGAGTTATCTTTTAAATTTTATTTAAAGCTAAATTGAATCTTTTTAATGAGTTCCCTAATAAAGTTTATGATTGCAGAACCTTTGTGTGAGTGCTGCACATTGTCCCATACGAGAAATTTTGGAGAAGGAAAAGAAGGTCAGTCGGATATTTTAAATTTAAATGTTCTATGACAAGTTAGCAGATATTTTAATAAACTATGTTGGCTTTGCAAATGTTGCGAAAAAATAGTGAATCCATCATGTAGATGCTGTTTTGTTTTTGAAAGTTCATGTAGATGCTCTATGGGCACAGTATTGATTGTGACTAGAAGTTACATATTTTGACTAGTCTTATTCCATGCAATTGTATGGAGTGGGCGCTTGACTACCTTGTTACCAGCCATGTTGCTTAAGGGATGGTAAGGGAAGGAAATGAACTCAGTTATATCATGCAATATTGATACAAGAAATATTAAACGAGGAATCTTGCCTCTATTTATATCCTCATGATTTGGAAGGATTTAAATAAATGATACTTTGGTGGGTTTTGGATGGATAAATGTAGTGCCCCTTCTATGATCTACTGCATGCTTTTCAACATGAAAGTTTACTATTTGTACAAGAGTACACACTGATATATCATGCAATTTCAGGAGAGAGCAGTGGCAGTGGCCGAGAATAGACCGTTACCGTCCTTGTATAGCAGTGCTGACATTCGTTCTCTGAAGATGGATGATTTTAAATATGCACATGAGCAGGTACCGCACTTGGTCCCAATCATTGTATATTTAGAGCTTTTGATTTT